AACAAAAACACCCATCTTAGCAGATGTCTCTCAACAGTTGCATCCCTTCTTTATACCTGTTGCGAACAGGTACAATCACATTATATATACATCCATCTGCATGGCATTTACAATATATAGAAAAATCATAAATCTCCTCCTGCAATCTTAAACATCCTTACTGAGAGAACCACATTAATATTCGCCAGAAGTCTATTAACCGGTGCTGGAATTTCTGACTTAGATCGTTGAATCCTGGTGGAACAGACGTCCGTAGAACTACAAGCACAGAGTAGGGACGAAATTTCTGTTTCAAGGACATTGCGGTACGCAAGCCTCGATCTTCAAGTTGTCTGTTTTATAATTCATATTCTAGTTTATATTCTGTTAGTTTCTATTGCATGTATTATTTATTAGCATATATAAATTATCACAGATTGTTGACTTAAATCCAACACATGGTTCACCCATATTGGCTACGTCCACGGAGTAGAGGAGTTCTCATTAATTGTGAAGGGTTTACACAAGTACATAGGTTCAAGCTCTCATTTTGTGAGTACTAGTGAATGATTTAGTACAAATGACATTAGGCAATATTGTGGGTGAATGATCTCCTTTTATAGAAGAGAGTTTTTAGCTTTGTTCTGACATTGACACGTGTCATGTTGTGATTGGCTTCTGATGTTGACACGTGTCGCGCTATGATTGGCTTCTGATGTCGACACGTGTCGTGCTGTGATTGGCCTCCTAGTTGGAGGGAAACTCTTCTGGGTCCTTGATGGTATAACATTGACCGGTGCTCGGTAGTTTCGGGATTTGTCAAGTATGGTACAAACAATATATATATATATATATATATATATATATATATATATATATATATATATATATGGTCTTTAAGGGGACATAATCTCATTTTCTTTTGAAAAATAGGGATTAGTTGTGGGCCCAAACAACATTGAACTTCAATGATACAAATGTCTATTTTTCAAGTTATACCTCATAAATCATCCTTACAAAATATTAGCTGAACCAAAAATATTTGAGGTATCTAATTGAGTTCAAAGAGATTGAGGAACACTATGATCTAAGAAACATTGAAATTCCATCGTGACAATTGAATGAGCAAATGATTTCAGATTAAATTGAATTTTTGCAAGTATGATCTATCTATGGATCGAGATTAACAACATAGACGATTCAAATTGTTGAAGTTTGTTGTGAAGTGAGTCCCTTAACTAATCCCTACTATTTTATAAATTTGAAAATCCCTCCGTATAAAGGGTGTGTGTGTGTGTGTGTGTATGAAATCTTTAAGGGAAGGGATCCCTATTTGTTTTTTTAAATGGAGATTAGTTGTGGGGTCCACATTACATCGAACTTTAACGATCCGAACGTCTATTTTTCAAGTTACATCTCATAGATCATCCTTGCAAAATATTAGCCAAATCCGAAATGTTTAAGACATCTAATTAGATTCAAAGAAATTAACGAATAATTTGTTATATAAGAAACAATGAAATATTATCTTGATAATTAAATAGGCAAATGGTTTCAGATTGAATTGAATTTTTGCAAGGATGATCTATGAACTGAGACTTACAAAATACACTGTTCAGATCGTTGAAGTTCGATGTGAAGTGGACCCCACACCTAATCTCAATTTTTTGAAAAAAAAATGGGAATCCCTTTGCATGAAGGGCATGATATATATAGACACACATGTAGTTAGTACAATTTTACAGTCTATTCCACTGTAATTTGAAAGCCCCAATCCCTCCCACTACTAGTAGTAATCGTAGTTTTATTGCTGTCAGGTATTTTTTTTTTTATGGGCAAGGCAAGGAGAAATTTTTAATTGTGATGAGAATATAGGTGATACATCACATGTTTTTATATAAGTGGTAGAAAATTTTATTTTTTAAGTTATTATCTTTTTGGCACACATATCTCATCATTTGTATATTGACACGTGATGTACCACCACATGTGTCGGTTACACTGAAAAATCTCTCCAAGGCAAATCCCTGCTCTTCTTTCTCTCTCTAACAGTTTCCATAAGTACATTTTTGCTGTATACTTTTACAACTCTTGTATTTTTCAAACATTTTTACTTTACCTCCTATTTTATTATGTCTCATTTTACTCCTACTCATCTTTAATGTCTCATATTATCCTATTTCATCAAGGGAAATTTTATTTAAACCCATGTAACCTCTTTCTACCCCCAACTTAAATTTTAGATGTTAATTATCTTTTTTACCCCATTGCATAATTACCATCAAGTACAAGATGAAATTAATAATAAAACTAAAATTTATCAATAAACCCACACATTATAATTAAACTCCACCATGACTCCTTGTTTATCTTATGTTCATTTCGACTAAAACCCTATAACTTTTATAGAGAAAAACAAGTTTTTTTCAGTCCGAGGAAAGTGCTTCTATCGTCTATGCAACATTAGCTGTTGGTAAGGAGTTGCAACCAGACAAGGTGAAGGAAAAATGTTAGTTTCCAACTGCAAGCTTTCAGTGCACTTTGAGGCTGCTGGGGTGAGATTTCTTCACGCATCGTATAACACATAATTGAAAAGTTGGTGTTTGTGGAACCTTTCAAAAAAATAAAAAAAAAACAAAGGGTACTCTCTCTTTCATTCAGCATGAATAGTCCCTTGCATGTCGATCAGTGCAAACCTTGCTTCGGAGGTACCCAAGTCCATTCCGAGATAAAGTTGCCCCAGCCCCCACCCCCCCAATTGGAACACCCACTTGAGCTTCATCATTACTACTTCCAACAACCATTGGTACTGTTGGATCTCTTGGCCGCCATCTCGGTCTTGTATGCTTGTTCTTCACGCCATTACACAACCCATTTCTTGAAAACTTCATCTGTAGACTGAACATCCCTGAAGCATCAAACACTTAACATCTTGAATTTGATGCACAACTACTGTAACTACTTGGTGTTGGTGATGAGAGAGAGAGAGAGAGAGAGACCATGTGTATGCGTATGTGTATGTGTTGGGGATGGCGACCATGGAAACATGAAGGAGGTTGCATTTGCAGCCATGGAAAAAAATGCTATAAATGGATGTAAAGATCATTTTATATTTTGAACTGGGTTTGGGAGGATAGTTTAGGTAATAACTCTGGGTTTAAAGAGATATTAATTCATAAATAAAAATTAATATGGGTGTAGATAGTAAGTTGGGTGTAGAGAGATGTTACATGGGTTCAAATAAAAGTTCTCTTTCATCAACTGGGAACGACATTCTCGTCGAAGGGGCAGCACTTTAGTCTTTCAGAAGTTAATATAAGGAGTGGATAGAGTAAATGAAATTGTGAGTTTTAGAATAATTCTGGAAACTTGAGTCATTTATGTAGAGGTTTGGATTTTCGTTTCGTGACAAAGACACTTTGCGGTTTCTGATGTCCCAAATATGGAGGAGCTAAAATGACCAAATATAGCTCATGTCACATCGCCAAACTAATATCACCTTCAACTTAGTTGATGGAATAAGGTAAAGTAGGGCACAAATGATGAATATATATGGCAAAGTGAGACGAAATTGAATGCAGAGAATAGAATGAAATTTTGTGTAATATATAACAAAAGTTAAGTATATAATCTTTTCATCTCCTCAGTACTGAGCTATGCACTAGTAGATTAAACATTTAAATTAAAGAAACGGCTAAAAAAGAGAAACAATTTTTTAGCTAGATAATACTTGCATCTCCTATGGAGAGAATAAATTACGAATAACGTATCCTCATCGTATAATAAATTTAAATCGGAACCGCTCAATTTCTTAATTTTTATTTGGACATCATCCTTACTAACAATCATTAGAATCAAAGATCGTTTAATGCATTCAAATGTATGAAACAAGTTGATGGTATGAGTAACAAGTAACATATTGATGATGAATCGTCAATCTATTTGATACATTTAGATGATTAAACAAACTCAATTTCAAATGATATTTTTTGTAAGAATGATCTTTAAATAAAAAATAAGAAATTGAGTGATTCCGATAATAAAACTTATACGGCAACGATACATTATTTGTAAGGAGAAGAATATGTGCATTCCAGCCCCTTTGAAATGATGCAAGTATTATCTTTTCCCGCCTAACCGCACAACCAAGTCCTATTAATCACAACTATAGTAAAATCTTTACACAGTGTGTTGGGACCAAACTAATTTATATCTATAGGGAGGTTATTACTTAAAGGAGTGTAGCGAAAAAGATATTTTTTGACTTAGTTATACTTAATGAATGTTATATGGATACAAAGAACCAGATTAAGAGTTGAGTCATGCCAATTTTTAAGTATAACATCGCAAAAAGAAAGACACATAATCTCTAAAATATTTATTTCATCTCAAATTTTTATTTGTAACCATATTGCATAGCAGCGGCGGTTCCCACTGCTGAAAAAAAAAAAAACTACTTATTATTATTATTATTATTATGTGGAGGCAAGTTTCTGAAGAAACCTAGAAAAATTATACTTATTACAATGTAGAATTTATAGTTATATATAACTGGCCCAAGTTGAGATCAGAATTTTTTATAATTACATGAAAGTTATTCTTTTATAGAGCATCACTATAGAAAAATACATAAACAAGTTCTATTAGAGCCTTTAAGATGCACGCGCTTCTGCTCATCACTCTAAAGTTGTAGTAATGTTTATCATATTACTTAAATTACTGGATGAGTTTAAATTTTGAGATTTATATTTATTCACTACATAAATCTTAAAATTTAAACTCATATAACTAACGTGAAGAGTGTCGCCATTATTTGAAATGGTGAATATCACCGTCCCTTGAGAATGATGATAAAAGTACTCCCTTTAAAGATGATGGTGTAGCCTTTAAAATAGGATCTTAGTAAGCGTTTAAGTACAAGAAGAATAGTCAACAAAGAGGTGCACATGAGAGTGGAAGCGACTATTTTCTCAAATTTAATATTCGATAACTTAGTAATGTTTTTGTCTCATTTAAACTTAGAATTCCTTTAAATACAAGAAGAATAGTGATGAAAAGGGAACAAACCAAATCATTACCGCTCGTAACCTAACCAACTAGCCATGGCACATGAGCAAGTCCTATTTATGATCCTCTTCCTTCTCTTAACTATCCCTCTTATTCTCTTCCCCACCCTAACCTCAAAACTATTTCAATCACACCACCCTCGACTCCCTCCAAGCCCCTTAGCCCTACCCATCATCGGCCACTACCACCTCCTCGGCCCTCTCCTCCACCGCACCTTCCACAACCTCTCTCACCACTTCGGCCCCTTATTCTCCCTCCGGCTCGGCTCTCTCCAGTGCGTTGTAGTTTCCTCCCCGGACCTCATAAAAGAGTTCCTCAGCACCCACGAGCTCTCCTTTATATCCCACGGACAGTCCCTCGCTATTGAAAGCATGACCTACAACGCTTCCCTTGCATTTGCACCCTACGGGCCCTACTGGAAGTTCATAAAAAAATTGACAGTGAACGAGCTTCTAAGCAACCGTAGCATCCACAACTCTATGCCACTTCGAACCCAAGAGTATCTAAAGCTTCTAAGGCTTTTGGCCAAGAAAGCTGAGAGTTGTGAACCTGTGAATCTCACTGAGGAGTTTCCAAAGCTCTGGAACAATGTGACTGTGGACATGATTTTGGGGACAAAGGGTTCCAGCGCAGAAGGAAGGGTGGCGCGGGCGGAGGAGGCGAGGCTGGTGGTGCGGCAGGCCACGAGACTTTTTGGAGAGATGAGTTTGTGTGACTTTTTTTGGGTTTGTAAGAAGTTGGATTTGGGAGGGTTTGTGAAGAGAATTGGGGATACGCATAAGAGGTTTGATGTGTTAGTGGAGAAGATTATAAGAGAAAGAGAAGAAATGAGAAACAAGGAGAAGAAGGAGGAGGTCAAAGATTTTCTTGATATTTTGGTTGATATGTTGGAGGATGAGAGTTTGGAGGTTGAATTTACAAGAGTTCACCTTAAGGCTCTAATTACGGTAATAATTAGCTTCTTCGCGTTCTACTTTTTTGAACTGAGTGTTTTTAACCGAATCTTGTCCACCCTTACAACTACTAGCATACTTTACTTTTACCATACAAATTTATAATCAGAATCATTCATTTTTTATTTCTCATTTAAAGATCATCTTCATATATATGATTAAACAACCTTTATTTTGGTGATAATTAAGAAAATTAACGAATTTGATTATGAAGTTAGAATATCATCTCAAGGGGCGGATGCATGTGGTAGTACACTACGTCGTGGAGGCAAATATCGTCCTTTTTTAACTATGTGTTTTTTGCAAAGTTTAATTCTAACTAACCTCTTAACACGCACGGCGGAGCCCTATGGAGGCCACAATAGGCCATGGCTTATCCTGAATTTTCATCCATTTATGAGTATTGTGTGCTAGTTTTTACATTAAGAATTATACGATATAGTGGTAGAAACAACTTGAAGATTTCCGCAAATCACAAGTCTGAGACTTGGTTATGCTAAAAATCTTTTCATTTATTTTACCCTATAAACCTCATAATTTGTATGTGGTCCAATATTAGTAAACATAGTGTTGGGTCCTGAGTTCAAAACTCCCTCATCTTTTAAATTATTGTAATAGTTTTGAACCCTCCCGCTCCCTTTAAGAATTATAAAATTAAAAATAAAAAGTTATAATTAGCCATCTGTTTTACCATATAAGCCTTCTGATGCCAACAATCTTTTGATTTTTTTTAAACCAATTCCTTTTTTTTTTTTGTTAGTTTATAAGCTTTATATAAACCAAGATCTATACAATCTAGAGGAAAATTCAATTATGTTGAAAGAAAAATATCATAATACTAGTTTTGAGCTAGTTACCTTATTGTTTTCATTTAATGTGTTAATCATTTTTTGCAAGCTCATAAACAAGCTAGTTCTTATGATATAATAATACTAAATTTTTCATACAAACTTTAAAGCTCCATCACTCTTATTCATTTTCCATGACAATTAATACAAAAACACACCCAAAAAAAAAAGAAAAAAAACCTTTAATTGGTCTCCATTTAATTATATTGCAATATTTTTTGTCACATTTCTTTCATTTGGCTTAAAGGCCCCTTCTCGAATGGATTTCTGACTCCGTCACAATTAACACACGTTTATGGGTCTTCTTTAATTCTTCCATAGTTATTTGCATAGGTAGACATTTTTATTTTTTTATTGTTCATGTATGTAGATATATGTATAAAAATAATAGGAAACTTCATTTTAATCCTTGGCAAAGATGACTTTTAGACTAAAATCATGAGTAAAATCAAAATCTAATTTTAGTCTCTTGACACATTAATCACCTCATTTATTAATTACATTTTGATGTTTTAATTATTTCTCTTTTTCTTCCTAATTTTAATGTATTGATTTTTCATTTCATTAATTGTAATATATTTTGGTGTAAACATTTAGATAAACTAATTTTTGTTATACAATATATTTCGATATACTTGGTCTTCTTCATTTAAGTACATTAAATTCATTATAATAATTTCGGTATACACATTTTGGTACATACATTTCGATACAAACATTTAGGTACATACATTTCCGTACTAACATTTTGATGCATACATTTCAGTACACACATTTAGGTACATTAATTTAATATAATACATTTCGGTACTAACATTTAAATACATTAATTCAATATAATACATTTTGGTACTAATATTTTAGGTACATTAATTAAATCTTTCAAGTTTGAAGAATGTTAAATAAAATTAATAAATTAAAAAAAACTTTTTTTGGTCAAAAAATAAATTAGAATGTGTATATTAATAAGTGAGACATTGAATAAAATACATATTAATTATTTTGAATTAAGAACACACCAAGGGACTATAATCAATAAGTAATCTATCACCAGGTTTATTTTAAATTTCAAACTTCTTCAACGATTAAAGTTAAAAAAAACCCCTAAAAATAAAAGACAAATAGAATACAGAAACTGAAGGCGAAAATGAAAATAAATGGACATGATCGTACGTATCGTAGTTTTATACACGCGATCTTTATAGTGAAAAAATAAGGATTTCATAGTAAACTCAATTGGTAATATGGAAGTAGCCTAACATCTCACAAACATTAAGCACATAAAATATCCATTCTTTCTCTGATGTGAGATTCACATTCTGACAAAGTTTTTCTTATTTGTTACACTTTTGCTTGTATGTGTTCTTCGTGTATGTGTGTGTTACGTGTTTGATAATCAAAGTCTAGTTCTAGTAGGATTTTTTTTTATCAGAGTAGTTTTAATGGTTTAAATGTACATTAGTAGTATTCATCTCCACTTATGAGTGATAACTCAGTACTACGGTCTAGTAGCATTCTTTTTCACTTTAAGTGAGAAGTCTATATGTTCGATTTTCGCCAAAGACGAATTTGAACCACATTATTAGTGGCTCATTGTGAGGCTAAGTCCACCCCCTCCCCTTAGTTGTATTAAATAAAAAGGTACAAAGTTTTGTGACTAACATACATTAGAAGTCAAATTACACATATGAGTCTTCATATTTGCCTTTGATATTGATGTACCCTTAAGTACATTTATTCTTCAGGATTTATTCACGGCCGGAACAGACACAAACGCAATTTCACTAGAATGGGCGTTGGCAGAGCTCATCAATCACCCAAGGGTGCTCGAGAAAGCGAGGGAGGAGATCGACCGAGTCATCGGGAATAAACGACTCGTCGGAGAACCGGACGTGCCAAATCTTCCATACCTCCAAGCCATCATAAAAGAAACATTTAGACTACACCCACCAGTGTCTCTGGTCACAAGAAAATCTGGACAACAATGTAAGGTTGGAGGGTATGACATCCCAACAAATACCATGTTGTTTGTGAATGTTTGGGCCGTTGGAAGGGACCCGAAGATCTGGGACTGCCCATTGGACTTTTGGCCTGAAAGATTCCTACAACTAGGTTCGGACAACAAGGTGAATTCAGTAGATGTGAGAGGGCAACATTTCCAACTGCTTCCTTTTGGGTCTGGGAGGAGGGTGTGCCCTGGTGTGAACTTGACCATGAAAATGCTACCTGGGGTACTTGCAGCTATGATCCAGTGCTTTGATTGGAAGGTTGTCGGGTCCGACCGCAATAATATGAACCGTGATGATGTTCTTGAAATGGATGAACGGCCCGGATTTACTACTCCAAGGGCGCATGATCTTGTGTGTATTCCAGTTGCCCGATTCAGCTCACTCAACATCCTTGATCCATAAACTACAGGGGAATGGGGGGTTTAAACTCAAGGACCGGTGGATTGAGGAGGAAGACCTTATCCACCTGTACAATCCCCACTTTCGCTAACTCTTATGTGGTCACAAAAATATTATGAACATTAGTGTGCTGTAATGTGTGTTTTCATTTGTACTCTAATAAAGAAATCTTCAATTATCCATCTGCAAGGTCAGTTGATCATATCATTAACTTTTCCTTTATGATTTGCTGCCTTTGGTGGGGTGGCTTTCTATCCTTCTGATTCCGCTTGATGGCTTGGACACGACATGATTAATCCCTTCCGAACAGACTGTGTAATGCCCTCCAAACGAAAGATGCTCGAGGCGCATGGGAATATTGTGGAATCTGCCTATATAATGGGGGTATTCTTATCTTATTCGAAAAAAATTCACACGTCATCTCCAGGATTTTTAAGATTATTTTGGATCCACGAGATCTCTAAAATTTGACTAGTATTATCAACTCTTCAAAGCAAACACCAACCGTACCAAGCAAACTTGTTCTATTTTAAGTTGTTCTCCTAAGTTTTAAATAGATTTTATTTTTAATTAGAAATTTGATTTGATTTGGTCTAGTTTTCCTTGTCTTATTGACAAATGGTTGATACTATATATTTTCGTATTATTGATCCTTTGTAATCTTAAAACTTCCATATGAAGAAGAATAAAATATTAAAATTGTATTTGAGTTTGTGAGATTAATAGAGAATTTTGAATTTATATATACTAAAACTCAAAACAAATTGTTTTACTGTTCATTCAACAGTGTGCTTCCTGTTTTGACCCTGCTAAGTTTGTGTTATTACTTCTCCTGTCACTGTCTCTTTAAATATATATTCCTTGGTGTGTGCTTTTTGTAGACGATATAGTGTTGATAGATAAAACTCAGGAGGGGGTAAATGTGAAGCTTAACCTTTGGCGGGAAGTGTTGACTTTAAAGGTCTTTGCCTAAGTAGGTCAAAGACAAAGTATATGGAATGCAAGTTCAATGGGAACAAAGGTTCAATGAGTTAGGGATGAGGATTGGAGATCAGAAAGTACCAAATAGGGAACGTTTTTGCTACCTTGGATCTGTCTTGGAAAAGAACAAAGAATTGGATAAAGACCTCAACCATAGAATACAAGCTGGATTGATGAAGTGGAAGAGTGCATCGGGTGTGTTGTGCAACCATTGTATGACACTAAAACTCAAGGAAAAATCTTTAGGACTGCAATAAGGTTAGTAATGCTTTATGACACGGAATGTTGGGTATTCAAGCATTAATATGTACACAAAATGAGTGTATCGAAGATAAAAATGCTTCGTTGGATGTGTGGGCACATGAAAGGATAAGATTAGGAACGAGGATATCTGAGGTAAAGTAAAAGTAATCGAATTTGAAGATAAGATCAGAAAATTTCTGTTAAGATGGTGTGGACATGTGAAATGAAGTCCTATAGACGCTACAGTTAGAAGATGTGATTACAAGACTAAGGCTCAAGGCTAAAGGGATAGAGGAAGACCTAAGAAAACTTGGAAAGAGATTCTAAGAAAAGACTTGGAGTACTTAGATTTAACGAAAGATTTAGCACAAAACCTAAAACAGTGTTGTTCAAGGATTCATACAGCCAACCCTACTTAGTTGGATAAGACTTTGTTGTTGGATAAGGCTTTATTGTTGTTGTTAATGTTTCCTTATTTCTCTTCCCTCTTACTCCTCCCCAACTGCGACTCCGACTCCCCATTGGAACGACAAATCAAAAAATCACCATTTTTATCTCCTTCTCCAAATCAACACATTCATTGATTAATCTTAGGTCGCACCCGAACCCTTAAAATCCTCAAACCCAATTTGGGTTCGACATTCCCGGCGACTTTCAGGCCTTTTCTGGTGACAGCCGACCCTGCAACCACAATTATTCGACTCAGGAGAGTCCCAACAAGAACATTCGAGCTTAGCGTGCTTGAATCTACCCCTTGATCCAAGAGTTCTATAAGCCTTGCTTGCAGTAGGTTTTCCGACTAAGATTCGAGTTTTTTATGGGCCAATTTAAGGCCTTTCTGACCATTTTTGGGTCCGGCGAAGGTAGTAGGGATACAACAAATTATTTTTACGGATACAACAAATTATTTTTACGGATACAACAAATTATTTTTACTTACTTTCAAAATTATTTTATAAGTAATTTTTGTATCTGTGAATTGCTTGATTCAAATGTTATATCTCATCTGCATATTGAGGTTTTCTGACATAAAATTTCCACATTCCACATATTGATATAAGGCTAAAGATCGAGAACGTACTAAACCATCTAATTTGTCTAATGGATCGCCGTAGTTGTTGGCCAGTATGCTTGAAATGGAACCTAGTGATATATCCTACAAACAGGGGAAGAGAACGGTGCTCCAGATCGAGTTTTAAGAGATCCCTTCAATCTGTTAGGGCTTTGCATACAATGGCTATGTAATATATACATATATATATATAGAGATATACATACATATACATACATATCTGATCATGTAGACCAAAATAGAATGGGTTACTAATCTGTAGTGAACTGGATACATTCATTGTATTGCAATAATTTCTTATTCAAATGATTAGGCCCTCTCATCCACCGCACCTTCCACAACCTCTCTCACCGCTTCGGCCCCTTATTCTCCCTCCGCCCGGGCTCCCTCTAATCCATGTAGTTTCCTCCCCGGCTGTCGGGCTTGCCAGCTTGGAAGCTGTAGCGCACAGCTTGCAATGAGTGAGTTTTGAGAGAAATTGCTGCTGAGGATGGCAATATAATCCGTCAAATCTGATCCCCACATGTAACCGACCTGAATAGTTTTGTTTTGAGTAGCAAATTTCGGGTTTTTTACGGTTATGGGTAACCGTTGGGTAAATTGTTCGGTTTCGGATTCGATTATGGTTATAGGGGTATCCGTTCTGAACCCGTCCCGTTTTCATTCTTTAATAAAAAAATATAAATATTTATTATATATATGTTTTTATAAAAGAATGAAATCCATGTGCAGTGTGTAGACTTCAAACTTTAGTACTCCTTGGGAGACTACTAGGGTGCGTTTGTTGCGCCGGACTGTCTCGGACTGGACTAGCTGCCGAGACTAAGCTGGACTGGCTTAGACTGGACTAAGCTGGACTAACTTAGTGAAGCGTTTGGTGCAGTCTCGGACTAAGAAGCAGGATAAGAAAAACAGTACTGTTCACCAGATTTGTGTTTGCTTAGACTAGGACTACAAATTTTTGCCATTGTGTAATAGAGTAATGCTACAAATCTCATGATATGGGTTAATTGGAGCATATTTTTGCCATGTATATTATGAATCTTAAAAAAAAATTGACAATTGTTTTGTTTCTATTACCTGCTAATAGAATTGGGTTTAATTTGCAAATGTAGCTTGAAGAGTTAAGACTGAAAATGCTCCTAACAATTTCTTTCCATGTCCTTCTTGCTCATTAAGCATAATTCTATGCTCATTCACATTATGCACAACCAGTGGCGGAGCCAGGAATCTTACCACAAGGGGTCGTAGTGTAAAAGTCCAGAAAAAAAATTTAGGATGGAAATGTTAAAGTTAATGCTTTACTTAAACTGATTATGTGTAAAAGGGCTGACTGTTGCCTTTATCAGTCGACCCATTCTATTTATCAATCGACCCATTCTATTTATCAGTCGACCCAATTACTTCAGTCGGCTTATGTATTGAACTAATTCTGTGTAAAAGGGCTGACTGTTGCCTTTATCAGTCGACCCATTCTATTTATCAGTCGACCCATTCTATTTATCGACCCATTCTATTTATCAGTCGACCCATTTTATTTATCAGTCGACCTAGAGTAAATTCAATCGATCTAAAGTAACTCCTAAATACATGCAGAATCATTTTGTTACTCAATGCATAATCAGTTTGTTACTTCATGCAAAATCAGTTTGTTACTCAATGCAGAATCAATTTGTTACTTCATGCATAATCAGTTTGTTACTCAATGCAAAATCAGTTTGTTACTATTATATACTATATCAAATTTTATTAAAAAAAAGTATATAAAATATTTGATTTGGGACAAGGGCATTTTAGTAATCATACTGGTTTATATTCCGATTCTGCTGAATTAGTAAACAGCTTTATGGAATTGTATTCCGATTCCAGACAGTTTTAGTAAACAATTTCAACAAGAATCTGATTCTGATTCCACCTCATTTCAATTCCTCCTCAATCAAATTCCTCCTCAATCCGATTCCTCTCAATTTGATTACGGATTAGTAAACGCGCTATAATAGTGGCCAATACATGCAACTTCAACAAATACAAGTACATAAGATCTCCATAATTTAGAAAATCCTAGTTAACATTAGTTAACATTAGCCAAAATAGATCTCTATAATTTACAAAATGGCTAGTTAACATAAGCCAAAATACTAGTGCAAAGCTAAGTTATAAGTCATAACATAAGATTGTATGATTAATAAAATACATCCATGTTAACGTTAATAAAAATACATCCATGTTAACATTAGCCAAAATCCTCATCCGCTTGCGTTGTCGCTTAAAAGCCTTTGGACGAACACTTTCTTGAGTTCCGGTTTGATTGCCCTGAACACTCCCACATTTTTTGGTTTATCCAAAATAAGAGACAATGCATCAATTTGATCCATAGGAGAGAGACCCATTTCTTCAAGTTCATTAGCTATGTCAGTATGATCTGCAGTACCTTGAACTAAAGCTTCAGTTACCATTTGCATCCTCTTCCCACTTTCAACATAAAAATCTTTCAGTCCACTGATAATTGCCTCGGTTCCATCACTTGAACTTCCCACAGCTCTTTTCCTCTTTCTTTGGCTATTTTCAAATGGGGTGCTTTGTTGGCTTTGTTGGTTCATTGAAGAAACAAAATTTTCACCTCCAATATCACTTTCACCAACATGATCATGACTTTGTTCCTCCACCATTTGAGCAGGGGTTTCGGCTACATTACCCGTAGCCCGATCTTTTCCAAATATATATGCAAATCTATCAAACAGTGGAAAATGTTTGCTTCTCCATCCATCGGCTTCTTTATTTCTCTAAGATTATATCAACATAGCAAAACTAAAATTTTAGCATGCGTAACAAATATAGGAGCAAGAATATAACTAATGCATAAATAAAATAGGATATGA